AGCTGTTCTATCCTAAAACAGATTTCGGCAGTTCTACCCTAGAACAGATTCTGACAGTTCCAGCCTAGAACTGTTTTGGATAGTTTTACACAAGAACAGATTTTGCCAGTTTCAACCTAGAACTGTTTTGTGACAGTTCAATGCTAGAACAGATTATGTCAGTTCTGTCTCTAAAACACTTTTTTTATTTTATTTGTTCATTATTTTTATTTATACATAATATGACAATAACTTGAGTATAAGTCTATGGATCTCTATGAAATTGTACCACAAGGTTCCATACCAAAAAAAATGGAAGGTTTGGATTGATTTAGGGGGTTATGGCCCTAAATGTTTATGTAAAAGGGGCCAAAACAGTACTTTTCTAATACTTTGTATACATTGCTTATTTCTTGACCAATTTCAATGGGGTTTAATTCAAAGTCTATGTTCGGGGTTCTTCTGAATCTGACCGTGTATTTAGATTTTGGATTGTTGGCCCCGTTTTTAAATTGGTCGACATTAAGGTCCAATGGGTCAAAAAATCAAACTTTGTTTGATTTCAACAAAAATTGAATTTTTTGGTTTCTTTGATATGCTGAATTTAACCATGAAGATGTTGGATTTTTGGCCCCGTTTTTAAATTGGTCCACATTGAGATCCAATGGGTCAAAATTAAACTTTTTTTGTTTTCATCAAAAATTGAACTCTTGTGGTTCTTTGATATGCTGAAACTAACCATGTATTTAGATTTTGGATATGCGACCATAATAGGTAAATGTCCAATTTAAAATGTTAAGTTCTTAGATCACAATCATTCTGTGTCAGAAACCTATGTTGTCAAATATATAATCAGAATCCAAATTCAGAGCTGTATTGCACAATTAATAGAAACTGTAAGTAGATTCATAGCTAAAAACAGATACATCATCAAATTCTAATTTTAGATTAGAAATTATGTATAAATATAGTTTGAAATTTACTGTTCATTATTATATATTTTTAAAAATGATTAAAAGAAACTATCGATTTTTTTTAAGTCATTTTATTAATGATGAATGATATATTTGATATTATTTTTGGACATGCATTTTTTTTTTTTTTTTTTTTTTTTGAAGAATTTAGTGGTAGGTTAGTTTGTTATTCGGTAAAAATTAATTTTTAGAATGATATATATAAATACATAATTTTTTTATGAAGCGAACCCCTTTAAAGACTTAGCTAATATTGTCCAATGATGAATAAATTTAAATTATTGGTGTACTTGGATATGCTGAATATAACCTTGTATTTATATTTTTGATATTGGACCATAAAAGGTAAAAGTCCAATTTCAAATTTTTCAGCTCTTTGACCCATTCATTTTGTGTCAGATACCCATGATGTGCAAAATATTTAATCAAAATCCAAGTTCACAGCTTGAATGTATTGTCCATTCTTGCATCAACTGTTCAGGGTTGGACCTCTGTGGTCGTATCAAGCTGCGTACAGCGGAGCAAGTTAATTTATATAGTTACTCTGAAAATAATTACGAAAAAAAGTGTTTAACATTCTACATTTAATAAAGCCGGAGTATGCATTAACATTGGACTACACATTTTCTAGTTATGCCAGGAAATACTTTAAAAACTATTAGATTACTGGCGCATTTACTTTTATGTCTCCAACCAAATATCAAAATAAATGGAGAATGTGTCCCCGTGGACACAGATGATGCCCCCGCTTGCATACAACATTATAAAGGGACATAATGCAAAAACAATAAAAGTGACGCTACCCAAATTTGTACTTGATCTGAGTTTTGTGGCAAAGTTACAGAACGGAAACTAAAAATTTTGCAATTTTTCGATTTATAAAGGGGCAAAACTCGATAATGGTTAAAATGACGCCACCAAAATTCAACTTGACGTGTGTCTTGTGGTAATGAGCATTGTGTATAAGTTTCATAACATTTGGTTGAGGCAACTTAAGTTAGAGAACGGAAACTAAAAGTTTGCATTTTTTTTTCCATTTATAAAGGGGCATAACTCGAGAATGGTTAAAGTGACCCCACAAAATTCAAACTTGATCTGTATTTTGTGGTAATAAGCATTGTGTATAAGTTTCATAACATTTGGTTGGTGCAAACTTAAGTTAGAGAACGGAAACTAAAAATTTTGCAATTTTTAAATTTTTAAAGGAACATAACTCTAGAACAGTTAAAGTAACGCCACCAAAATTCAAACTTGATCTGTGTTTTGTCGTAATAAGCATTGTGTATAAGTTACATAACATTTGGTAGAGGCAAACTTAAGTTAAAGAACGGAAACTAAAAATTTTGTAATTTTTTTTCATTTATAAAGGGCATAACTCTAGAACGGTTAGAGTGACGCTACCAAAATTCAAACTTGATCTGTATTATGTGGTAATAAGCATTGTGTATAAGTTTCATAACATTTGGTTGAGGCAAACTTAAGTTAGAGAACGGAAACTAAAAATTTTGCAATTTTTCTATTAATAAAGGGTCATAACTCTAGAACGGTTAAAGTGACGCCACCAAAATTCAAACTTTATCTGTGTTTTTTGGTAATAAGCATTGTGTATAAGTTTCATAACATTTGGTAGAAGCAAACTCAAGTTAGAGAACGGAAACCAATTTTGGGACGTACGGACGTACGTACAGACGGACAAGGGTAAAACTTAATGCCCCCTCCGCTACGGCGGGGGCATAAAAAGGATGTTCAAGGTCCATTATTTGTTTAACTTCGAGCGATCCTTTTATTCAATACCTTAATTTAAACTTCGAGATTAGAAAATCTTGCAATGTCTAAAACAGGCTTTCTAGAAAAATCTTTTTTTTGTTAGTAGAAATTGATATTTTAGTCAAATAGGATTATTGAGATATATAGAACGAGCTTACAATTTGTTAATTGAGGGTCGCTTACCTATTAATACTCTAGTATGAAAATGTAATACTCTAGTATGAAAATGTAATACTCTAGTATGAAAATGTTATACTCTAGTATGAAAATGTATCAATTGACAAGAGCTATTCGGACGAATTTCCTACACGACTAATGCCATCGGAACATATATTCTTAAATGGCAAGTCCGCTACATACGACTGATTAAGAAATAAAAAAGTCACATTATCTAAAGCGTCAATAGAGCGAAGATATAAGTACACATACACAAAACCAAAGTACACTGAAATCTTTTAAAGAAACGAAATTGTTCGTAAACAAATATAAAAAAAGATATGTTCATCGAAAAGATCAAATTAAGATTTTTTTATCTTTTCATCAATGTTGCTCATGTTGTGACAACTCCTGCCTCTTCTTATGCTTAGGACAAAGACTTTGATTAACATAACTCAATACTAGAAAAATGTTTGATAGGTCGCAAGAGAAATTTGACGTAGCATTAATTTGCCGCAAACTTTTTAAAAAGTTACAACATAGGAATTTGAAAGTTCTTAAAGATATTAACATATCAGAGTACCTTGTTCGTGCAAGTTGTAGCAATAAGGTAATTGTAACAGCTTTAGACTAATATACTAGTCAACAAAAGAAACGATACAAGGCAATGTATTTTCCATATAGAATGAAATTGGATACACTGTACCAAGGTAAATAATTGCCCAATTTGTCTAATATTTACAGAGTGTTATTTTCTTATCAAAACCATTGATTTAAGGCAAATACGCGAATTTTTTGGGGGTAATTTTGTTATTCAAAAAATCGTATTTTCACCCAAAAATTCAAAAATTGATATTAGAACTTAAAAACTTTAAGCTTAAACATGGCCTGCTTAAAATTTTGAATGCCTTTGCAGATATTTGAATACTAAATTCTCAACTTCGAAATAACGTGCCGACTTATGTCATCATTTTCCGCAAAAAAAAATAGACCCCTGTGTTCAATAACACGGTATTTTTTAACTTTCCAATTTTGTCAGATTCTTTTAATCATATGCATTTGCTTTGCAAATGAATGTTTTTCATTGGATAATTTAACAGTTTTTCCTATTTATTATATTTTATGATAAATTGGAGTTCAAACTTGTGTATCGATTCTTTTGTTGACTAGTATATATTAATTATCATTGTAAAAAAAAAGGAATTTGAAAGTTGATGCTGCTTATCGTGACCTCCATATACTAACGTGTGTGTTCTATAAACTTGATATGTACTCTTGTGTCGGTTAACCAAGTGGTAATCAGCCATGTATTTATATTTTAAGACAAAACACAACAAGGGAATTCTTTTAAATTTTACACAATTGACACAAATTTATTTTCTTGTCATTGAACATTTGACCTCTTGTACATCCGGTTAATATCTTCATGCATACGAATACGTGAATCTGGAAATTCCATGGAGCCAAATTGCACAGCCAAGTACAACTGGTATCCCCTTGTTATTAACTTCCAGAAAACAAGTATAACAAACAAACGAATATATTATAATTTCTTATTTTTTTTTTAATCATTACTAAGAACTGACTTCGTCTCCAAGACCGATTTTGTACACATTTTACATAAATAATATCCAATAAAATGTTATCTATGGATAATGCAAATTAATTTCTCTTTTCTCCTATTCACAATTAACATCATAAATCATATGAAATGAATTCTCAGGTCCCACACGAATAGTAAAAAACAAATATATAAATAACTTATTACGATCATAGGATCTTCTAGAAATCAGATTTCCAATCTAAAATTCAATTTTTTAAATATTGAGTCCAAAATCTCGAATATCAAACTTCCGAGAGTCAATAAAAAGTTAAATCTTAAATACTAGTATCGGATCTAATGGGCCGTAGTAAAATACACAAAATGTTCGCATGGACAAATACGCATGGACAAATATATAAACTTATTCTTATGTTGTCAATTAGGTCTTTATCCGTTGTAAACTTGAAGAAGAAAAAATGTCCGTGTAAAAATCATTATAAAATGAAGAAACAATGGATTAGAGAGAGATAATGAATTAGTATTTTTGTCGGGGGGATGCAAGGTCATTCCAATTTACTTACTATCATTTTATGGAACATTTCAGTATGTTCCTTGCTGCTAGCCGATGCATCCAACTGAAATCCTGCATTTTGTGTGTTCATTCCGAAGACATTTAAAATTTAAATGATAACAAAAGTAGAGAAACGAAATAGATTTCACAATATTAATCTACTATATCTACCACGAGATCCCCAGAGTCAATACTATGTACACTGACCAATGCTATTAATGATAATGTACGAGTTGCATCTCTGTTTTGAATTAGATATATCGTCAATATTAGACAGAACAGTCATAACTTATAACCCTCCTGCTAATTACCATGCATTCCAGTAGTTTTTTAATTACCTTACAAGTAATTGTATATACAATATACACTATTAACTAGGGTAATTGGAAGAAAGAGCCACATTTTGGGATAACACAACTGTGTGCCAGTAAGTTTAGACTAATGTAAACGAACTACTACAATGACAATTCATTCGAACATGTTTAGTTAATTAGTAATAAACGTTAAAGAAAATCATCAACATTCAAGTCTTGTCGTTAAACTGACGCTTTGGCAACAGTATTATCACTTATGTAACTTGTTTGCAATGATTGCTAGAAATAAGTGGTTATTTCCACACGGTTTTAATTAATCCCATCAGACCGGGGTTTCCAATTTGTGTCGGTTTTCATGCACGTGCAGTATGACGTATATACATGTATGTATAGTTTTGTACCTGTTTACGAAAGGTGTACAAAAGAAGCGGCGGTTTGTCAGTATTTATAAAAATACAAGTCTATGTATACATCCGCTTCAATGAATTTTTCAATTAGTAAAAAATACAAATACACGAAAAACATGTTAAATGAAGGATATGTTTTATAATGCATTCGATTAATTTAAGTTATATGTAATTGTCATTGTAAAGGAAGACTAGAGCAAAACTTTCTTGTTATATAAGTGAACTGCAAAATTGCTATTTCCTTTTCGTATTATTTTGGTTCGGGACAAGTTAGTAGAACGGTAAGCAAAAATCAAAATTCATAAAAACATACCTGAATCATAAGAACGTTTATCTTTTGATAAATGCTACACTGTCTTAAAAGCATTAAAAGCCTATCATCTATTATAAATGTTTTGCCTTGTTAAGCTTTCTGTTAGCAGCAAGAATTGGATTGCCATTACTGCTTTAAGATATCTGCCATCTTAGCGCTATTATATCTTGTAGTCTTACCACGGATGGAGCAATACAGACGAATTTGTTCTAAATGTAATTAGATATTTGCTTCTTGTATTTCAGATATGAACAGAAAATTCTTGGCTGTACGTGCATGTTTTTTGGTTTACTTTGTGTGCTTTATTGATGGAGTGACTTCGCAATCCAAGGACATTGAAGTTGGAGGCGGTGGGGGCGGTGGCGGGGGAGGAGGTGGTGGTGGAGGTGGTGGCGGCGGAGGCGGCGGCGGCGGTGGGGGTGGTGGTGGTGGTGGAGGAGGGGGAGGCAAAACAGAAGAAAAACCAGCCATAACCACTGGAGGTGGTGGTGGCAGTCATGATTCTTCGGGACCAGAATCAACAGACGTCGATGTGGACTTTAATCTTCAAACTCCTAACTCTGGTGTTAATATTCTAAGCACTGTAGGACTGAAAGGAAGTGTGAATCCGATCATTGTGGGAGAGGGTCTTCACAGTAACCCTAATACAGACAAGCCAAAAAAGAAGTTCAACAACCGAAAAGGTAAAGATTGTCTGTAAAATTGTAAGTTGCGTTTGAAAAGAGGGACGAAAGATACCAGAGGGACAGTCAAACTCATAGATCGAAAACAAACTGACAACGCCATGGCCAAAAATAAAAAGACAAACAGACAAATAATAGTACAGATGACACAACATAGAAAACCAAAGACTAAGCAACACGAACCCCACCAAAAAACTGGGGGTGATCTCAGGTGCTCCGGAAGGTTAAGCAGATCCTGCTCCACATGTGGCACCCGTCGTGTTGCTTATGTTATTACAAATCCGGTAAATAGTCTAATTCGGTAAGTCACATTCGTGAAAAGGGAGGGTATTGTAGTTACGATATAAGGAACATATCCGATATCATCTGTGAAACGGTTATTCCATAACGGTCAACCAACTCGTGATGGCGTCCGTAAAATTTACGAAGGGATGACTTCAACTTCACCATTTGGAACTCTTGGTTTAATAGCTATCTGAAAAGTTATCTTTGTGAACAACCAATTTGTTGAATTTCATATGACAGTTATTGACTAATGTCAATAAATCCATTCACTGTGCTTGTTGTCCATGTTGATGCGGTTATATCACGTAAGGGGGTAAATTATACCCTTTTATAAAAGTGCATAACGATGGTCGGCTCAAATACAGATACCGTTCAATAGCTACCTACATAAACATGCTCAATGTTTGTTCAATTATTTTTTCTTGTTCTTACTTATGTTGATTCAATAAATACGTGTATACAGGTAAACCGAGGTGTCCGTAGATCAAATAATAAAGAACATTGCAGTGAATGATGCTTCTTCATGGCATATAAACCATATGGCACGTCTATCTAATATATTTCCCTTGTTTGTTTTACATTATTGCACTTAAAAAAGTTTGCACACAGGCTTAGATAAGGGATCACAAACCTAAAAATATAATATATTATGCATACTACTCTACACATATATTAGGTTCTTTCATTAGTATAAGATAGAAATATCCTTATACTTTACAACCTAAAACATGTCTGAGAGCAGTCCTTAAAACATGTCTTTTAGATATAATCTAAGAGCATATCTTATGATACTTTCATGGAAATGGTTCCCTAGATACCAATGTTTAAATTTTGCTTTTTTCTTTCAGGACTTGCCCAATTGATGAGTATGACAAAGATGTTCTTGGAAGGACAGTAGTTCACTGTAAATGTATAAACGTCATTATTTAAAACACAGATACTGTTGTTTATTTTTTCTTATAATTTATTTGTATGGATATCATTCTGTACAACTGCTATCAAATATTCCATATTTACTTCATGACGTCATGGATTTATGTTAAGAAATTTGAAGCCAAATTCAGTGCAAGATGGTCGCTAATTTCTTTAACATGCAATTGAGCTAATCTACTCGAAAAAGACTAAGCGAATTTGCTTGAACATATTCCAGTTTAAACTTTAAAGTTTATTTCACACCAAGGCCACTTTCAATCAGTCTGTCATTTATTTTTTTCTTAAATTCACCGTATCACAGTTCCATGTGTCTTTGGATTCATTTATTTTCGTGAGTACCAATTTTCGTGGTTTGAGGAAAACTTGTAATTTCGTGGACATTTGATTGGTGGTTTTGCCAAAGTCTGCGCATATTCGTATAAAAAATTTGTAATTCTTTGAACTTTAAACGCGTGGTTCCTCTGTACCCATGAATTCTATGAAAAGTATTACCCAACGTATAATGATGAACTCTCAGTAGCTTCAAACTGCAAAAATGAATTTGTAGTAAATTTTGAAAATTTATCAAGGAAAAGTATAAGAAGGAAATTCTCAAAAGAAACAACAAAAAATTTTGTTGGAGGTAAATATGTTCTGCTGATTCATTTAGATTAGAGACCTTCTTCTTTGCAAATTTTCAAAATTCTACAACATTCAAATTTTTTGAGCGAAGCAAATACTGGGGAAATTGTCCTTACTTCTTAATCAACATGAATTTGTCGTATAGTTACCATAAAGAATTTGATGTGATATGATTTCCATGCAATGAAACAACTTTCCACCTGAGATCAAATGACGTAGAATTTAGCAATTATTAGTCACCGTATGGCCTTCAATATTGGTACGCTTTTATCTCCTTTTTATTTCAGTTTAGTTTCACCTGAATTCAACAAATACACATGAGCATAATCAAATGCACTTATAGAATATGAAGAAATACCAACAAAATTTCAAACAGAAATATATAAATATATACATAATAACATGAACATAAAATTGGACTATAAACAAATAAAACATTTTAACCAAAAACAGAAACAATCGACAATATACAACACAAGATTCCTTAGCAATAATCCGTTTAGGATTCCGTCTTTTGCACACTCAATCTTCTGTAGATACCCTCTTATATGTGTTTTTTACAAGAAACAATAAATTTACTAATACGATGCGGATACCGACTGTTGTAAAATCTCGAATTTAAAAAGTGTTATGTGTTGAGATGAAGAACAGCAATACAAGCGCTGTTCCTTTGCTTTTTGTGTGTTTTTGCTGTGCATGTATGGAGGCCGTAGAAAGTTTCCCCGTGCTTGATATGTATGTTTTTCTGTAATTTTAAAGTTATGGTGTATCTATTCTTGAGATAAATTCTCTTATGTGTGCCACACCATTCTCTCAATCTTAAGTCAGTTTGTGTACTAAAATTTTAATAAAACGCACACCACCTATTCTTGGCCCTCATTCCTATTCACGTTCAAATTTTCACTTCCAAACATTTTATGGGGGCTGGATCAATATACCAATATTTATACATCAGACCGTACTGGTTACCGGAACTTTGGATACACCAAACCAGGTACCTCATATCTGAGAAACATGCAGTATGTGCCCTCAATTTTAGAATTCATTCATACATTTTTGTATTCCTGTGTTCTACCAGGATCACCAATACTTCACCTTTCATTTCATACCTTAATAACTAAAATATATTCTACATAGTTTTATATTTACACTTATGCGTAGGAACTATTTCGTATGTTCTTTTTTTACCGGGCCCGATTTGGTGGTGATACATCTTACAAAGTCTATTCGAATCAATTTGCAAAGAATTCCGCTCAAACCAGTGCTAGGAATCGTCTTAAACTTGCAGCGAGGTGAGAGTTTTTTTGTTTTTTTTTTGCTCCGTGTTGAAGGCCTCACTGTGACTTTGAGATGAAGAACAGCAATAAAAGCGCTGTCCGTTTGCTTTGTGTGTGTTTTTAGCTGTGCATGTACTGATTTTGTGCCATGGATGGATACCATATGTCCTTTGTTTTTGTATTATGTGACCTTGTAAAAGTAAAGTTGATGTTAATGCAAGGTTACGTTTACTAAATTCAGCTTCATTCAAACATATTCTGATAAACCGTACAGGTTTTGAGATGTACACGCCATAGCATACGACAAGCCCCCCAAAAAAGGAAAGTTGATGAAGGCAAGGTTGAACTAGTCTATAATTTGTTGTATATAAAAACAAGGAGATGTGGTATGATTGCCAATGCAACAACTATTCACCAAAGTTCGAATTAACCAGATGCAAGCAATTATAGGCAACCATACGG